GGTAAGCTGTTGGTCGAAACAATGGAATCGATGGGGCTATTAGTATGTAATGGAAGATGCCCTTCAGACAGACCGGGAAAATACATTTACATTTCAAAAAATGGTAATAGCACTATTGACCTTATTTGGATTAATGAAAATATTCTGCAAATAGTAAAAGACATGGAAATTAATGTTTTATCCGATTGCTCAGATCATTTATCTTGCGTTATTTCAATTAGCTGTCCATCCGCTAATTTTATGAAAATGTGTAACCCTTTTGAATATGTAAAATGGGAACAGGCTAGGGCTGGAGACTTCTGAAGTTGTCTACTCAATTCACCCGGCATATATTTCAATTCTGAAAATAGTGAAAACTTTTAAAAGTTCGTCATGTATATTTATGAGTCATTAACCGATTGTGGGCTGATGGTGCGCAAAAATAAATCTTATTCCTAAACCCGCAGTTTCAAAAATAAATTTATTCACAATATTCACTAGAAGACTATCTTGTAACAAAATTTAACTACAAAGAACTTATTAAGGACAAAAAATCCAGCAATCGTAATATAATTACATATATATTGCAAAATGTTAAAATAGTAGTGAATTTTGGAAAGTCATAAATTCTCTTAAGGCAGTAAACATCCCATGCAATGAAGAATTAAATATTGATAGGTAGGTGGAACATCATAAAGATTTATTTGCAGAAAAACTGATATTAGAAACACATTTCTTTTCTGTAACCCATCCACTTTTAGACACGCCATTTTCATTAGGTGAACTTCAAACAGTAATACAATCAAATAAAAACAGAAAATCTCCTGGTCCTGAAACATCATATATGAGGTTTTCAAAAATTTAAACCCCCAATGGGAATATTATCTATTAAACCTTTTCAACAATATTATGGAAACTGATAAATCACCGGGCGCGTGGCCAAAACTAATTTAATTTTAATTAATCAAAAAGGTGACTAAACAGATATAGACAATTACTGTGGTATCTCATTGAAAAATAATATGACAAAGTTATTTACAGGAATTTTAGCTCAAAGGATTCAAGTTTGGACCGAAAGTGAAAACCTAATTCCAGAGGAACAAGCGGGATTTCGGAAAAGAAGAGGCTGTGTTGAACATTGACACTGATGCCAATCATCAATATAAATCTTATAAATCTCCAAGTTAAAGGAAGCTACGTCTATGTAACTTTTTTAGATTTCAGAAAAGCGCTTGACTCCATCAACCATGAGCTCCTTTGGGCAATTTTTTTTTATTTTGGTATCAGTGGTAAGACTGTTAAATTGCTTAAAACTTTGTATGACATGGCTACGTTGTAAATAAAAATTAGGTCAGAACTACTGTTAACGCCGCATACGCTCATGTATTTATTTTTTTTTATTATTATTTTTTCATTAACCCCCTTTAAGTGTTAATCATGGAATAAATGTTTATTATTTTTTTTGTAATAGGCCGAGGGATATTGTACCTGAAATGTATTTTGTTGTATATTATTTATATATTTAGGTTTATTCGCGTTGTATATCGCATATTTATATGCACCTATTTATGTGAGCAGTAATACCCACTCTTAAGGATTAAGACATCAAAATACTACCGGTTTTGTCACTATAATAAATATTGTAAACATTCAAAAGGGGGATCTTTTATTTTCCACATATTTAATTAATTGAGTAATTTTATAATATTTTATGTGCATGCTTTTTTTTTCTTTTACAGGTCTCATTTTTATTCACTATTTTTTTCCCCTTCATTTTTTAATTTTATTCGAATTTTCCCCACCTTTGAGGAAACTCACCGGGGAAAGATTTGTACTTCGATTTTGAAGTACCCCTGGCCCCAACAACTACTACAGGGCGAAACTCTGAGCCCCATCCTTTTCATTATATTTGTCTCATACATAATAACTTATTTTGTAAACAACGGTGCATCAGGTTTACCCATTGATAGTGCAAGTGAGGTTACAATGCTACTACTGGCAGATGACATTGTGGTGTTAAGCAATTCCTGGCATAGCACCCACAAAACGCTGCAGATTCTGGACAAGTGAGTTTCGGTCACAATACCTTTATTGTGACCGAAACTCACTTGTCCTAAATCCTCAAAAATCCTGGTATGCCACAAACACCACGTATGAAAAACTGAAGTCTCTATATAGGCAAATCAAACCTCTGGAATTTACGAAATTCTATAACTATCTACGAGTGCCATTTTCAACATCGGCAAAGTTTTCCAAGACTGCTGAACACTGTTTAAATGTCAAATGTCGTAGGAGCGAATGTACGAGAGATCTTAATAAGAGGTAAGAGCGATTCGTGGGAAACGAAAATGATTCTTTTTGATTGAACGGTCTCGTCAACTCTTCTGTATGCAGCAGAAATCTGGGACTTAAGATATTCGGAATCAATCGAATTGGCACAGATGAAATTTCTCAAACTCTTATATCTCTGGCCAAAATCAACTCCTAATTACATAGTTAGATTGGAAACTGGTCGGTCACCGGTCTTGTTAGCTGTTTTAAAGAAAGCTATAAATTTCTGTATAAGACTGCCATCATTGCCGGACCACCGGCTTCCTCGAAAATGCTTGGAGAAACTGGTGGCTCTTGATGTTATGTGCTAGGGAGCCAAATCTGGATTTTAATTGGTTCTCACAACTTAAAAATATAGCCGCTTCTAATTTCGTTGAAGAATGTTTTAATCGTTTTTCTGATCTAGGAATACTTCTTAGAAATAAAAATGGTATTTTAACAACTGTATCCAACAATTTATTCTCCAAAGACATTGAACGTGCCTACAATTCAAATTACAGCCAAATGTACCGACGTATTTCTGGTTACAATGGCTCAGAACCCGAAAATTAAGTAAAATTTATAACACCTTAAGAAATTTACGGACGGTAAGTCGTTTAAGCGTGACCATCTAAAATTTCTCCATGGGAACATTAAATACGTCATAAATACAAACGAAGTCTGCAAGTGATGCGGCCAACTTATTAATAACGGTTTAAAGCACTTGATTCTGGAGACACATAGAAGGAAATACCTACATACACATATACAGGCTGCCACAGGTATTTTATCACTGGAGTGTGTGTTGAATATAAAAAATCTTGACCAGTTGAACAAAATATTTTATTTTATTATAAGTGTTTGTGACTCTTATCAATACAAGTAGAAACCCTCAGCTTTAGGTCAGGCATGTGTGCATATGTCCGTGGGAGAACGTGTATATATTCACAATTAGGATACCTTTTAAATATTATTATTATTAATTGTACGATTCTGCATGTGCTTTGTAATAATCCTAAGATCTCTACTATTTGTTTTGCTTTGTTGTGTTCTGCATAGAAAATTTTCTTTAGTATATATGTATTTTTATTCATTTATGATATCTCATTTATAATATTTATTATATAAATATATTTATAAACAAATATTAAAAATATTTGGAGTATGAAAATATTTATGATGTTTGTTTTTTTAAAAAAGTTTTTGTTTTTGTCTTCTTATACTGTACTTATTTACTTGTTTTCTTCTACTTATAAAACTAATCCCTACTAACACTAAATGGGCCAGACTCCATGGCTACGATGTATATTAAGCCAATAAATTGTTTCTATTCTATTCAAGTGACTTAAAGGACAGTTTGATGTTTAACCAAAAAAGCGAATAAAGAATATATCTTTCAACTGCTGGAAAGATCTGATATCCCAGTACATTTTTTATTCTTAAGCCACTTGTCCCAGAAAAAGTTATTTTCTGTCTCTCTATCTATATCTATAATGAGAAAAACTTGTTGTTTTCTGACCATTGGAGGCAAATTTAATTTTCTGTACTACAAAAAAAAGGCAATTATTTTTTTAATTAATAACTTTCTAGGATGATAAAACAATATATTTTTCATTATATTTGATATAAAATTTCAAAAAAAGGCGGATCTACTTAGAGGCCTCAAAATGTGTTATATGAATAATTATTTATATCTACATATATTTTTTTTAATTATTGTGTGAATTAACATATATTTGTTACTATCGTCCGTAATTGAGAAAGAATGTAATATTTTACAATAAAAACTGTTTCTATATCTCTCAATATTGTATTTGAGCAGCTCAAAAGAATACCCATAACCTCTATCCACAACAAGAGAAGTTTTTGAATGAATCAAACAAGATCTTGCTATTCTAAATTTTTTTTTTTTTTTTTTATTTCTTAATGACATTTACAACTGTATTACATAAATACATTTAGTAAATTTGGACATAATAGATATAATGACATGAATACACTTGCTGAGTAATTACCCAATGGTAACATTCTAATGATAAGACTACATTAGATCACGGGTCATCTTCTTTTCAGACGCCTCGGAGGGTTATTTCCTAATAATTGAAGAGGATGCAAGATTAGAAACGAGAGGGTTGGGATGATTTTGAAGTTTATTATGGAAGGATAGGTATCTGGATTGGGCCAGACCTGTAACATAAGGAACATTAAGATCTTTATAGGTAATTTTATTAGTGACAAAGTAAGGAGCATTGAGTATTTTACGAAGGATTTTGGATTGTAAGGATTGGATGGGAGAGTAATTCGATGGTTTAGTGGAGCCCCATAGCTCAACTCCGTAAGTCCAAATAGGTCTTATTATAGTCAGGTATATGAGTTTTTTGTAATTAATGGGAACTTTAGAGCGTTTGTTTAGTAAGTGATGAAGTAATCGGAAACGTCGAGCGGTTTCTTGTCGTTTCAGTCTAGTATGAGGATTTCAAGTTAGTTGCTTGTCCAGGTAGAGTCCTAGGTATCGGATTTGCTCAACAGGGATAAGTGGAGTATTGTTAAAGGAAACTGTAGGACAGGCAGTCGTTGGTTTACGACGAAGATTCTAAAAATAAGTCAGATATATATGAAATGAGTAAAACAAGAACGCATGCACATTACTTTTGTATAAAGTCTTGATTTTAACTTCAAGGATAAGAAGAAATAAAAAAAGAAAATCTAGTGGATATATAAGGAACCAGGAATATATTTTATTTACACAATTTTTCGGGATGTTTCATGCACCAGTTTAATTAATAACATTTTTATAATTCTTAAATCTTTTAGGTATTTTCTCATTAGCTAGCCTGCAGGGCTCTGCAGGAGCCATATATCTGTAATTTGAAAGCAATATAGTTAATGTATACAATTTAACATATTATATCATTGTTTAATGAGATGAAAAAAATAATATATTTTACCTGTGGGTTATTGGGTCAATGCAAGAAAAATCAGGTGCGCAAAGATATATACTTAAACAGCATGTAAATACTGTACATTTAGTCACTTTAGAAGATGAGCCGGACTCTGAAAATTTAGAAACAAATTTATTGTGCACTAATTTACTTTTACATAAAGTTATTTTTCATTTTAAAGGGGAACCTACACGGTCAATCGGAATTTCACTAATGACGTTCCGAATTGTCGTGTAAGGTAGTGAATGAAGTATTGATGGTGGTGCGCTGCGGATTTCCGAACATTCGGAAATCAAAGGTTCATTCACGATAAGTGGAGGGGAGACCAACCATACTGCTGGATAGGTTAGGTTACCTAGGCCTCACAACCATTATAAATTTCTGATTTTCATTATATGTAAATAGTTAAATAATTTTTCCATATCCCTTGTTTATAATTTTAAACCATCTTCAACTATTTCTTTTAAATAGTCAAGTGGGCAACAAATTAAAAAAAAAAATGAGGAAACTTCACAATTTACTTTAGGAAAAAAAAAAACTTTAACGTTGTGTATATTTATCAGTTCTTTTCCATTTTCCTCAACAAATTTATTATTTTCGCAATACCTTTCCTTAATTTTTGTAAGTAGTAGACTTATATTTTACTAACTTTCGTCAAAACGATTTTCTATGAGACTAACCTTACTACTAGATAGGTTAGTTTACCTAGGTCTCGTTATTAAGTAAATAATTTCATAAAAGTAAATAGTTGTTTATATCCCTAGTCTATATTATTATTAACCATTTTCAATTATTTTTTCTTTAAATAGTCAAGTAGGCAATAAATTGGAGAGAAAAAAAAAGTGGAAACTTCACAATTTACTTATAGAAAAAAAAAAATCTTTAACTGTTGTGTTTATTTGCCATTAATTTTTCTTAACAAATTGATTATTTTCGCAATACCTTTCCTAGAATTTTGTATGTAGTTGACTTATATTTTTCTAACTTTGGTCTAAACGATTTTCAGGCACTAGGAAGTAATTATTATATCTCCGTTTTTCTCTTGAAGCCCAATATTATAAATGACAATGTCCAAATAAGCATATCTATGCTGTTTCTTTGTTTGCAACTGCCCTAAATTGGTATCGGCAACGATAAGTAATGATCAGTAATGATTGAACGTGTAAGGGTCTTCATGATCAAAGCGATAGCGGACAATCTTGAGATTTCTTGTGACGTTCATTCATGAATTACCGTGTAGGGTCCCCTTAACCATTTTAGTTTTTCAAGTCAAACTATATCGATCACATATTGTCATGGAATTATCATCGATTTTAAAAAGGAACTGGATAGCTTATTGAGGGTGCAGAAAACGATTCGACTTCCTTTATCACGCGTGGTAAGCTGTCTTTCTTATTTCTGTAATATTTTTAGTTTTAAACTTTTAATTTTGCTTTGATAATTGAATATTTTTTTAGAATTAATAAATTATTATTTGACGCATTTGCAGGATGTTTCAGGGTTAAGTGGCCAAATTGAAAATATGAATTAAGTACCCCAAAGGTAAGTGATTTCCTTGAGCATTAAGACAGGGTCGGTATCTTTCTTTATCAGCAGCAGTGGCAGAACGGCACTGGGTATGTGTTATTGTTTCACAAGATTCTATTATCCTTTTTCGCAAGGTCATTGACTGAACTTGGATTGACTTTTTGTTTATTGTCACCCCAAAGGAAAAAAAACAGTGGTGTCAGGTCTGGAGAGCGTGCGGGGCAAGCCACTGACCCTGCACGGCCAATCCATTGATTGGGATAATTAACATTTCAGCCATTGTCATGGACCTCTTCCGTAATGTGCAGGACAACCATCCAATTGAAGCCACATGTCTGTTCTCAGTTGTAGTGGAATATGTTCATAGTAATCATTATTCAGAAATTCCAGAAATGTAGCCGCATTGAGTCGAGGCTCAAGAAATGCGGACCTATTAAAATATTTTCTATTATACCCAACCACACATTGCACTGAAAATGGTGCTCACGAATTGCATGTAGGTTTTCTTGCGACCAAAGATGTTTATTTTTCTGATTGAAGATACCTCATCTTGTAAAGGTAGCTCCATCTATCAAGAGATTTTTTCCGGAAAATTGTCGATTTTGCTCAACTTGATTTAAGTACTGTAACCAAGATTAAGAAAGCACTGGAAACAAAACAAACTCTACTCCAGTGTTGCCATTGGAACGAGGATCCTCGTATTTGTACGAGGTTATGACGTAATGTACGAGGTACGAGGATAGACCAGCCTCGTACCTCGTACATAACTTTTGCTGACGTATGCAATGCAAGGTTATATTTTTATGAATGAAGTTTAGAATTATTTTTTACTGTATTAATATTTATATTAATATGAAATACTGAACTTCTGTTGCTTTCTAGACAAATAAATTGGAATTATATCTTCTTTAATTAGAGTATGATTATTATTGCATTCATAAAATCATGACTGTAAATATGTTTTTTTTTTTAATTTTCTAGAAAATTTTTTTTTAGATTTTATCCAGTATGAAATAAAATATAAGAAACTATATCCATTATTTCCTTCATAAACTTTTTTTGTAAATATATATTTTTTAAAATGTGTTGTAAAGGAAAATTAAACAGAAATTTATCATTTTTATCGTGCATAAAATAAAATACGAGAAAGTATAACCATTATTTCCTTCGTAATTATTATTTCTTTCATGGAAATGCAACTGTAAATATATTCTAGATAAATTAATTTTTTTTTTAAATTATTAGCGTAATTTAAAAAAATTATTTTCGATTTTTAATCGAGTAAAGTAATCAATTGAAAAATGAACTAGAATTCATAATGAACCCATCGTAAATAATGAAAAAAAAGAAAGTATTTTTTCAGTGGTCCACATTTATTTTGTGCGAGACCTAATCGTAAGCTAAATACTGAAACAATCACAATCTATTATTTTTTTATATTATAATGGATATCTCTAGAAGCATCAATATCCCAATAATTAATTTTTATTGTCCTTCCAGAACCACTAACATCCTTTCATAAAAGTAGTTGTTTTGTTTTTAGAAAAAAGAAAAACAATTAGTCCTTCCCCCGAATTAAATCTTCGATCTACTAATGAATACTTATGAAAAGTACTTTAAGAAGTTTATTTAGCTATTTTAATTTTTATATAACGTTTTCAGTAGTTTATAAAAATATATAAACTTTTTTATATATTATATTAAGCTAATTTTACTTCTAGACCCATTAACTTTAAAAAAAAAAGTAATGTAAAAAGGCTTTAAAATATATGGATGGAGTTAAAAATAAAAATTTCTGATCTAATTTTACCATAAAAAAAAACAATAACACTGGGCTTATAATAGTACAAGTTATGAATGAGCAAGCATACGAGGATGTACGAGGCTTGAGTACGAGGTTTTGTCACAAAGCGCGCGGTAACACTGCTCTACTCTCTTTTGTTTCCTGAACCAGATTACTGATTCATATTTTTAGCATGTGCATGTGCTCTTACATGTTATATGTCGTGTATCTTCATTATCTTTTTTTTATGTTTAGATGTGGCATGCCATAATATTGTATATAAAATAAGTATCTTTTTTTTGTTATTTGTATTATCTTTATTATCTTAAATATCTTCCTTTTTATCTTTAATTGTATATAGTAATTATGTTTGAATTCTCTCTTTTTCCTTGTATTTTATTTCTTTTTATTGTACATAGTATTAATTCTGTAAATATTTCTTTCTGTAAATAGATCTGTTAACCTTTTTGCTGCTTTATAAAAATTATCCAACCTAACCCCTTCTCACCTGAGCTAGCATGGTAGAGTAAATATTTAATGATGGCCAAATAATGGGTAAGTACCTTATGTTTTCTAGATTTATCTCTTTAGAGATGAAAGGCTGGTAAGCCAGGCGCCCAACAAATAAAAATTCTTGTGGAAAATTATATTTATTAAAAATTGTTTTATTATCTTTTTATTTTATCCCTTTTTTTGGTCATAGTACCAATCTGAAAAATTTCTTCTTTGCCAAAAATCTTGCGGAAACCAATTTTGTACCTGTTAATAATGATATGGATGCAATCCATCTGCAATGAGTGTTCTCCATACTGTAATTGGCGTAATATTTAATTCTGTTCCACCTCTTCACACACTGCCAGATCGATTATCATCAAAATATTGTAATATGGTCGCATTCCTTTCTCAATTTTGTAAAGGGGCAAAAATACCATCAGCAGTATGATACCAAATGTACTAGTTTCTCTAAGACGTTGAAATGTGGAGCTAAAGATAGACTTGGTTGGTAATCTTCTATTCGGAAATCGCCTGTCATATTCAGGATGACATTATTATTACAGAAACCGTTTACAAACACTAAGGTCATATTCACCATTAGTATAAATGGAAGTCTTAATGATAAGTACTCTGCGAAAGCCTCTTACAAACTGATAAATGTTATAGAGAGTTCCAAATGCTAATTCCAAATATTATTAATACTTATGTTGCCAATAGTATTTGATACAAACAATAATATTCTTTACCTTTCGCTTGGATAACAGGTCCTGAAGAAAGTTGCAGTTCCTCAGTGTCTTGTATGTTGAAGGGTGGTGGTTGATGGACTTCACTATCTTGGATAATGAAAGCTGGAATAGTGACGTAGAAAATAGTTAACAAAATGGCGTACCTGATCATCGTACGGACTCTCAAGCTATACTGAATTATGGAATTTCATCTCACAACTTATAGCTCCTTATCTTACTTCATATCTCGTAATAAACTTGCTAAAGAAGTGGATAAAATATATCCATTTAAGTATATTTTTAACAATTTTATTATATTTTTTATTCTTTTTTCTCCGTTCTTCCCTGCCTCACCTTTTACGCCGTACGGAGCTTTCCCGGCCAGGGAGTGAGAGCAGGGATATAATGATAAAGTTATAACCCCAAAAGGGCTTTCTTGGAGGCATTGAAATGTGTTATAAATTGGAATGTATAATTACTAATATTTAAATCATATTCATTTTTTTTTTGTAATTGTTGTGTGAATTAACATATATTTACAAATCACAACAGAGTCCCAGTTATGTTACTTCCCGACGTCAATTCCTTCTTGGTGTTTTCCTTTTCCGCGTCCTGAGAACCAAAAAATCCTCCCTGTATCATGGAACTCTTCTATCCACATCATGTATCCCTTTTCATTAAACTATATCCTTCACCAATTTCTTCGTCATTCGTACTACCTCCTTCAGGAATTTCTTATCTATCACCATACGACAATTCTCATCCTTAAATTCCTTTAAACCACTCTTATTCCACCACCTACTTCATTTTAAAAAACTTCCATACCTATGTCATACTTATTGGATTCTGTAACTACAACTGCTTGATTTTATTTCATATATTTTTTCTTTGTATAGATGTAAACCCTGCTGTCATTATCCATCAGTCCCTCTCCCATCACTTGTATTCTTTACCAGTTCACAATTTCCTACAAACCTCAGCAATAACTATCCAAACTTCACTTTTTCCTCTTACAGTTGTCGCAGCATACTCTCCACCTAAAATAGCAATACCTGAACCTAACTTCATTTCCTTTCTTAATTCCCTAGGACACCACTTCCTTATAGGTGCAGACCTTAACGCCAAACATCAGCAATGGGGAGCCAGAACCACGAATTCCCGCGGGCGATCGTTGCTGTCTGCACTTAATTCCCACAATTCCAACATACTTCCCCCTGACACTCCTACATACTGGCCAACCGATCCTAACCGTAATCCTGATATCCTCGACTTCTTCATTCACAAAGGTCTCGGGCCGCTAAATTACTCAGTTCTACGGCTCGATGACCTTTCCTCAGATCACAGTCCGCTAAATCTAACCCTTTCCGCATCTCCTATCCCCAGGTTATCTCCTCCCTAATTCATCAGAGGCCCAGTCAACTGGAACCTTTTCCGCCAAACAATAACAGATGCAATAGACCTCAGAGTATCCCTAAAAAACCCTCAAGACCTAGATAATGCAGTGAGTTCCTTTACAACCTTGATCCAACAAGCAGTCTGGACTGCATCCTCACCAATCCCCTCCAAAAAATATCTTAAAAAGACTCCTCTGCCTCAAATCCTTACCGACCTCATTAAATCCAAACGCCAATCTAGGACCATCTGGCAAAGAACCAGGCATCCTGATGATCGGAAACTGTACAATTATTATACCAAACAGGTAAGAAAAGAACTAGCTTCCTTTAGATATCAATCATATAATTCCTACCTCTCTTCCCTTTCTACCGATGACAATTCCCTCTGGAAGTTGACCAGAAAAATACTTAAATACCATTCTGTTTCCCATCCCCTCCGATGCGATGATGGAACCTGGGCTTCGTCAGATGAGACTAGAGCTGAAGAATTTGCCAAACACCTATCTAAAACATTTAATTCCCACCCCGAACTCCATTCCACCCTCACTGTTGAAGTTAAAAAATTCCTCTCTTCTCCTATTCCTCTCTCCTTGCCTCCTATAGCTGTCAACCCCTCTGAGGTAAAATTCCTAATAAGCAACCTAAAACCACGAAAATCTCCTGGACACGATCTCCTTACTTCCCAGATCCTTAGACAACTTCCCAAAAAAGCAATTATATTCCTCACATACCTATACAACTGTATTCTCCGCACAACTCACTTTCCTCTGACGTGGAAACACTCCATATTCATCCTCTTCCCAAAACCAGGTAAATCTGTCAATAATACCTCATCCTATAGACCAATAAGCTTGCTCCCAATCCTCTCCAAAATCTTTGAAAAAATCCTTCTCAAACGCATCCTACCCATACTCGAAACACACAATATCCCATCCCATCAGTTTGGATTCCACTCAAGACATTCCACTGTTCAACAAGGCCTTCGCGTTGTTGATCATATATCCTCTGCGCTTGAAAACAAGCAATATTGCACCAGTGCCTTTCTGGATGTAGCGCAAGCTTTCGACCGGGTGTGGCTTGATGGCTTGCTTTTCAAGCTCCAAACTCACTTACCCCAATCCTTGTACCTAGTCCTCAAATCCTACCTCTCAAATCGTTTCTTTCAAGTCCGCTGCGGCACTGAATTCTCCAACTATTATCCAATTGAAGCTGGTGTTCCACAAGGCAGTGTCTCGGGCCCAGTTCTCTTCATCCTCTTCACCGCTGACATTCCAACCAACCCCGATACCCTTCTAGCTACCTTCGCTGAAGATACCGCCATCCTGTCATCCCACTCAGATCCTGAAACAGCATCCTTAAACCTACAAAGACACATCTCTCTGATTGAGCAATGGTGCAACAATTGGCGCATTAAGATAAATGAATCCAAATGTAAGCATGTCACCTTTACCCTCCGACGCAGATCCTGTCCACATATCCTTTTCAACTCTGTACCTCTCCCCGTCTCCGACACAGTTCGGTATCTTGGATTCCTTTTAGACAAAAGACTAACTTGGAACCCACATACCAGACTTAAAAGACAAGAACTTAAACGACGATTTGGCCAGCTATACAGACTACTTAACAGAAAATCCAATCTCTCAATAGAAAACAAACTATTAATATACAAGACCATACTCAAACCCATCTGGACCTACGGACTTGAACTGTGGGGGACAACTAAATTTTCGAACATCAAACGCATCCAGTCGTTTCAGTCTAAAGTCCTCCGTATAATAGTCAATGATCCTTATTATGTTACAAACAAAACCCTACATCATGACCTTTACATCCCTTATGTCCTTGATGTTATTCCATCTCGATTCTCAAATTTTCATCTGAACCTAATCCACCACCCTAACTCCTTAGCAAAATCCTTATCCAGCTCCAGTCACCCCTACAACCCTCCTCGAAGGTTGAAACGGCAGTGGCCTCGAGACCTTTTGTAAAGACTGTCGCTGGAGTTCTGGCAATGGCCAGCCTCTCCACTCACGTCATGAGCGTCTGTTGCTTTAGTGCCCTCTCTCAGTTTCCACTGGACTCCTGCCGGTGACGCAGCTGAGAGAGAAGCGCTGGGATCTCTTAGAGTCTCGCTCTGTCCTTCACACGTGGAGGAAAGGGCTGGACTCGGAGCTCCCTTGGCTGATTGTAAATAAAGTATGAATGTTTTTCTTTTTTATATATTAAGTATGAATGTTTTTCTTTTTTATATAATAAGTATGAATGTTTTTCTTTTTTATATATCTATTTGTTTTACTTATTATTATTATTATTTTATTTTTAATTTGAATTCAAGTTACATTTCTTTAGTTTTATAGTTTTTACCTTTGTTATATAGATATATATTTTTTTATTTATTTTTATTTTTTTTTTTATTGCATTGTATATATAGCATGAATGAGCCTCACTCAGCTTTAGTACTCAGTGCCCTTAAATGTGGCAAAATGTATTATTTCTCAATAAAAAGATTTTAAAAAAAGATGTAAACCATATAAAATGTACTAGTGTTAAAGTGTTTACTATTGTCGGTATGATTGCGATTTATTTATTTTTGGCACTAAGGTCCTGTCAGAACCTGGGCCTCCCTTATGATCCTTCGCCACTCCCCTCTATCTCGAACGAGCATTCTCCATCTTCGTATTCCCATCCTTTTCAGACTTTCCTGTACCTGGTACAGCCATCTTAGGCGTGGTCTTCCTCTTCCACATTTTCCAGCAGGCCGATTCTCTAGCAAGCGTTTGAGAATCGCATCTTGGGGCATGCGTGCTACATGGCTCAACCATATCGTTTACCCTCACAATTGAAACCAAATCGCGCCTTACATACATTTTATACAGCTCTTTTTTATAGCTACTTCTCCATTGTTCCTGTTCGCTCACCTGGCCATAGATCCTGCGGAGAACACTTCTCTCCCACACGAGTTGCCTTTTTTCGGATGCTTTGGAGATCACCCAAGTCTTGTTCTCTGATGTGATCTTTGTTCTGTAAGAAAGGGATCTGTAATTTAATATTTTTCGCATTGCAAAACAGCACCTATTCCCGACAGCCATAATTGTTTTCTGTAATTAGAGCTCCGAAATATTTAAAGTGTTCTACATCTTTTAGGGTGTGGTTACCAATTGCGACGCGTTCGACTATTTCACTTGGATTTTTTGACGTTTGCATTAAAACAGTCTTTTATTTATTTCTACCCCTAGTTCTTTAGTTGCGGTTTCGGATTCTTCTAATGCCACCGCTAATGGTGTTTTATTTTTTACTGTTACCATAACATCATCAGCAAAAGCCAGATGCTGTGTCATTCTATTATAAATCGTGCCACTAGGATATGTCCGGATCGCCTTTATTGCATACTCTAAAGCAATAATAAATAGAGTAGGAGATAAAGGATCTCTTTTTCACCTCGAAACCTTCCGACAATTGGCCATTAATTTTCACACCTGATCTACTACCGCTTAGGGTCATTCTTGTCAAAGTGACCAGTTTTTGTCATTACCTTCAGTAATTCTCCTCTGCATATATTATCATATGACTATTTAAAATCTATGAAAACGTGATATAAGTCCATTACGTATTCGCATGTTTTTTCGTTTTCTTATTGAGAAAATGTGATCTATAGTTGATTTACCGATTCTAAAACCACACTAGTATTTACCCAAAAACTTCTCGCACCAAATTTGAACTTTTTTTATTCATTATTTTATTATTGAAATATCAATTGAAATTAACATTCGAATGACCTCTTTGTTTTCTGTCAAAGAAGACTAATGGGCCAATGTTTTGTACGAATCTATAATTATTCTTAGGGAACTTTAGCCCCAGGATAAAATTATTTTTTCATTCATTCATTCATTCAATTGTGGATTGATGGTTGACTGTAGTGAATTTCTCACAATCCAAGAGGCTTCCATGACAATTTTCTTGGCCAATGTTTCTCAATCTGACGTATTCATCCCAACAAGCTTGGGATTTATTCTGCTTGTATAGACTCCATGCTTCTTATCTTTTACTGTTTTATGGACTTGATTATTCCGTCATCTAGTACTTTTGGTCTGAGGTCTGTAATTTGGTGTCAAATGAATAAGAAATTCTCAAAATATTGTAAAAACACTACCAAAGTATCTTTTCCCTCCAGGAATACAGACAATGTACTCGATATGATCTAGAATCCGTAGAAATGGGATTATATAAATTGTATACAAGAATATTGGAACAGAGGTTTAGGATATTGGTGGAGGATGATCTGGAAGAGGACTGGGCGGGTTTTAGACCAGGGAGGCCAACCCATTATCATATTTTCTCATTAAGAATGATTGTTGAGAAAGCATGGGATAGAGGAAGAATGCTATTTTTGGGATTTCTGGACTTGAAGTCTGCATTTGATTTGATTCCTCACCAAGAGATTTGGAATACAGGTGCCATCCAATCTCATCAGAGCTATCAAATCAGTTTACCAGGATTCCAAGTGAATAGTGCGGCTTAAGGATTCTGAATCGGTGCCAGTTATGTATTATAAAGGCATTAAGCAAGGTGATAACCTAAGCCCACTACTATTCATCATATTCATGGATTAAGTATGAAAAGTTTGTAAGAGAAGGACACCCAGAGCAACAGTTCAACAGCAATAGCATAAGCTCTCTTATATGCAGATAACGTGGTCCTGATTGCCGACACCCAAGAAAGGCTTCAGATGGCTATCAATGAATAGTCAGAAAGGTAAGGTAAAAAGTAAGGTGATGCTAAAATGTAATTACAAGCCATTAAAAAAGGTAGAAAAATTCCATTACTTGGGCACGATTTTCGCAGAGATGGAAGAATCGACCAGGAGGTTTTAATTAGAGTCAAGAATGGTGTACGGGAACGGGAGGTAAAGAAGAAAACAAAAATAGCTTGTTCAATATTTTACAGTTTAGTATTGTACAGTATTTCTCCCTGTCTTTTTGTATGGTGCAGAGAGTTTTCTTAACATGCAAGTAAAGTAACGGCCATAGATATGAGATACCTCAGGAGAGTTCTTGGGAACTCCCAGTCGGGCAAACCTAGTCGCTTCAGATCGGCTTTACTACAATTTTCCCACCTACGCTTCGGTCTACCCTTCGGACGTTTACCATTCGGTACAGCGAATATTAACCTTTCATATCTGGATATATAATCGTTATTCGGAGGTAAACTGGTCCTCTGTTCGGGTACTTGAATGGGCACTTTTTAGGAGATTCATGACATATCTAGATATATTAGTAAATTCCTTTAGGATAAATAGTTATTTATTTATGAAGCCGTGGCTTTAGCGTTCTCACTCAGGCTGCACTGACTTTCAAACAATGATGTGACTGGGAGAAAAGCGCTAGGATCACTTTGAGCCCTTTTTGCCTTTCACATGTGAGTGGCAAAGCATGGCTCAGAGTTCCTCAGGCTGAATGTAAATATTGTACATAGGAATAAGTGTGCCAAGTATTTTTTTCTTTCTTTTTATTATCCCTTTAATGTTATTTTTGTCTCTCTCTCTTTCTCTTTACAAGTATTTTTTATTTTATTATTTTTTATTATATATATTTTTTTACTTACATGTTTTCTTCTTATTTATTTTTCTCAATTTGTATATAATAGTACGAATGCACACATAGAATCTTAATACGAAATGTCCTTGATTGTGGCAGATTGTATTATTATTCTTCCCATAAAACAAAAAATTATGAAGTCGGTTATTTTTTTTTAATGAAATTATTTTTATAATGGTTGATGCAACACATTTTCCGAATTTCAAAGCTGAGAAAATTAATTCAGTGATTAGTGAAGTAGTGAACGAATGTTAACCACAGAAAATAAGCTAATAGATAAAATAATAAAGCAGTTAAACATTGATATATTTAATCTACTTCCTTTCAAGCTTACTAAGAGGTATGAGGTCAACTAAGGGGCTATAAGTTGTGAGATTAAATTCATAATTCAGTATAGCTAGAGATTCCGTAAGATGATCAGGTTCGCCATTTTGTTAACTGTTGTCTGTGCCAGTGTTCGAGCTTTCAGTATCCAAGACAAAGAAGTTCATCAACCACCGCTCTTCAACTTGCAAGACACTGAGGATCTGCAACCTCCTCCAGAATCCGATGTCCTAGTAAAAGGTTAAGAATATTCTTATTTGTATCAAATACAATAATTTATATGGCAGAATTTCCAAGCCATTTAATGTTGGCATGTAACGTTTTTGAGCATTAAGATAAAGCTATCCTCGCAATTATAATAATTAATCATTGAACTCACTAGGAATTAGGTCAATGTTAGGAAAGAATGCCAAAGAGGATGCTGCATGAGAAGCCGGATGGCAAAAGAAGTAGAGGGCGCCCTTGGATTAGATGGCTGGAGGATGTTGAGGACGATCTGAGGGGGCTAGGGGTTCGGAGATGGAGGAAGTAGCAAAAGACTGTGCTGATTGGTTGGCGATAGCAGAGGATGCCCGGGTTCTTGCAGGACCCTAGCGCCATTATAATAATAATAACACATTTTTCGTCAAAAGATGTTATTTAGATATCCGATTCAAGATATTTTTCTAGATTCTTTAAGACGTCTTTTAGCCATCTATAAATGGCCATCTGTTAGATATCTTAAAAATGATAAAATTTAGATGTCTTTCAGGGCTTGATGCTGGTTGGATATGTGATGAATATAAGTTGCTAATATTTGAAAACTAAAATTGTTAAAATAAATAACAACTTAATTTGAAATTTGGTTGTAGAATAATAATAACTTTATAAATTTTCAGAGTTTATTTTACCGCCTGGTTGGATTCGATGTTCACCTACTACCTGCTGTCTGAGTAAATATCGTTGCGGACCACTGTACATTTGTCTTGACCCTATTACTAACAGGTAACTTTTTTTCTCAATCATACTGAATAATAATTTAATATTAAGTTAAATTATATATATAATTATATTGTTTTCATATTACAGGTTTGCGACTAACACGGAACCCTGCTTGTAATACTGAAATCCCTACTAGCAAAATACCTAAAATGCTAAAGGAATACTAATATTATTAAATAAAAGCATGCATAAATCATCTCGAAAAAGTTGTATATATATCTTCCTAGTTCATTGTTAAAGTTATTCACATAATTTTGGTTTAAATATGATTATTTTGGAAAGAAATCTGATCATTATTGGAGTATTAACAGACCACTGCAGACTTAAAAGACATTTAAAGATCTGTGGGATAGGGATGATGAACTCTGTCTGTATGAAGCACCTGAAACTGTTGTTCACTTAATAACAGAATGTGACCGATTTGCGTCACTCAGATACAGACTTCTGGGAGCAGACGGAATAGAAGTATGTAAAGCTAAATGTTCCAACCTTTTGAACTTCATTAGAAGAACAAAAATGTTTGAGACAGAGTAGAGATACAATAAACAACCTCTGGTAATATCATCATTGGGGTTGGCAAAAAGGACCAATAGGCCCATTTGCTGGACTAAGTCCCCCCACCAGTACCAGTATCCACGGTTGACCATCTAATTCTTCCCGTTCTCTTACTCCCTTGTCTATTGTTTCTCAAACACACTCGACAAAAGATTTATCCGTGACTGGTTTCTCTTTTATCATCATATTTCGTCCCAATTGGCCGCCTCCTAGAATCTCGACGAGCTTTTTAGTAAAGGCTTTATAGTTATTAAGCATTATTTTCGTTGTAATTTGTAATCTTACTGTCCGGATCTTTTAATCTAAGTAAACAGTCTGTAGACGTCTTCTTCAGGTGTCTATCGTTCTCTTCCCCCCTCGCAGGCCTTTTGCAATCTTTTAGAATAGAATAGAAAAATAACTTTACTCTGGGACACAGTCCCTTGAGAATAACATAATAGAGCAAAATTAAAATATTACATCTGGCCAAAATAAAATCAATCGAAAAAAAGAAATAATGTAAAAAAAATCTGATGCGCGCAACACACAACTTTCACTTACTCTTTGAACTTTGAATAAAAATTATTTTGTGGCCATGTTAGGCTATTATAAAATGTTTTATATTGCATTTTCAACTGAGCTAAAGCTAAAAAACACAAATGCTATTAAAATAACAAAAGTCCTATTTATTATATCACCGGTTGATTATGGATTGTACGATTCGTTGATTATGGATTGTTCGATCCATTGGTTATGGATTGTACGACTATAAGTCATTAAACTGTTATTTTCCATTGCAAAGTTTATTAAAACGGAATTAAGAGATTTGCAGTGTCTGTCATAGACAGGTCAAAAGTTGTCACACTAATTGTAAGTGGATTCTGTTGGAATATCGCAAAAAGAAAAATTATCAAACTATTCACTAATTTAATTTTCTAAAAGGTTGCATGATGATTTTTCGGAATAAACGGACGATAGATATCTAAATATTGAAATATATTATGAGATCTAGAGTTATTAAACTACAGTAAATATATTTAGGGTTATATCTATCATATCTATGAAATATTTTTGTATTTCACTTCTTTTTTCACACAAGTACAATGAAATGGTAGTGGAATATCACAAATAGAAGATCTATCGAATTATTCACTAATTTAGTTTTCTAAAAAGTTATATGACAATATTTTGGAATTAACTTTAATTCCTAATTATTTATAGAGAAATAGTTTATTAAAAGTAATGCTGCCCTACTACATGGGATTGCTTCGTACACAGCATACTTATCAATCCATACGGACATTAATTTTATATTACATTTAAACGTATAAATCCGTCGAAAACCCCGATTCGAAAATTTTCTCGATCGCAATACTTACACTTACTATATATTACATATATACGTAAGCGAAAGTAAAAATATAAGGTAAAAATTCTATATACATAACAAACGAAAATATATACAAAACAATTAATACTATGACAAGACACTTAAAGCTATTTTCACTGATAGACCAGAATACACTTTTAAGACAATAATAAAGAATTAAAAAATAAAAATGTATCAAATTCTCTATTAAAATCAGCTCGAATGGTTAGCAACTATCTGACTGTTTTTGGGATAGGAATTGGAATAGGAGGGTTTTGAATGTGGATATGGATGGGGAATGTCGAATTTTGATAGGGAGGGAATTCCAGAAATTGACAGAGCGAACAATAAAGGAATTTTGGAATGACGCAGATCTTTGAGAAGGCATGTAAAGGTTAGAAGGTCGAGATCTTGTGGACAGGGAATGGACTGAGGATTTAAACTGGAGAAGGTTGTAGGCGCAAGAAGGACGGTGGTTGTTAATGATTTGGTAGAGGAACGTACCTAGGAAATATTGTCTTCGGAAGGAGGGGAAAAGCCACTTTAACTCAGCGTAGTGGTGAGAAACATGGGAGTATCTTGGGGCCCCGATCACAAATCTTTCGCAGCTGTTCATTAGTCTTTTCAGTCTTTCACGGAGCTCCACAGAGAGGCCATCACACACCACACAGCTATAGTGGGGGAAAATGAGAGAGGAAACTAGGAGTCTACGAGTATGTTGAGGTAGGAGATGGCGGAAGCGATAGTTTGAGGGTGGAAATTGTCCGTCAAGAGTTATGAGAAATATGGTTATTCCAAAAGAGGTTTTGATCAATGAAAAATCCTAAATTTTTAACAGAGGAGTAGAAGGAGATTGGTTTATCATTAAGTTGAAGGATGGAAAAGTCTGTATGAGATTTAAGAAGGGGTTTGGAAGCAATGACAATGGCCTGAGTTTTGGCAGCATTTAACCTTAATCCATTTCATTTACCCAGGCACTGATTGGTGACCTCTTTCCAAGGTGTCAACTCATTCCCTGTATTCCGTTAAGGCATTTCTCCTTACTCTTCCAACCAAAGATGTCCTTAGTTCCGTGGCATCGAGTAAATCCACCCATCCCGCAGATCTCGCCTCAATCAAATTGTGGATCTGATTCCCTCGTTTTAGAAAATGGTTAGGTGACCAAGTTCTCCCAAAAACCGTTCCAGCTCTAATACTGCATTATTTAGCTAAGTGGCTGCAGCTGCTCCAATTCTTACCCACTCTAATTGCATCAGATCGGAATTAGTATTAATAACTTGACTTACCTGCGTTCTGGTTGTAGTGTCACTATTTGGTTCAATATTCTGGTCCGGTTGTTGGTCTTGAGTACCCATAGGTAGGCCTTGAGGTTGATTAGTTAGCTCTACGTTGTTTAACTGCCTCGATTTTGAAAGCATAAACTTCTAAATTAACTTCTTCCTCAGGGTCCTCAATCAACGTAATTCCCGGGTTTCTTGACACCATTTTAGTTACTTAGTATTGTAGGAATTAAAATAAAGTAAAAGGTAATGAAGTGAACTCTGTGAATGCTTGAACAATACTAACTTTTATTTACGACTTTTGTTTTTAAATGATGATAATTAAAGCATACGTTTATACGTTTTTTATAAATCAGAACTAATTCATTGATAAACTACTTATCAATATGTATATATATATATATATATATATATATATATATATATATATATATATATATATATATACATTATAATTTTTCTCTTGCATAGTAACCCTATGCAAGAGGAGTTTATTTGCAAAAGTTTACATGGACCATGCGAATTCGCATGTTAGAAGTATAAATATTATGCTTACATTTTAGCTATGCTACGTTGTTGTTTTTTATCTATACTATAAAAATTAATGAAAATACATAGAATAAGAGAAATAGAAAAAAATAAAACAAAAAGTAGAACTAAATACTTGTTTACATGAAAATAAGTTTTTAGCTTTTTCAATATAGAATATATGTGTGTATATATATATATATATATATATATATATATATATATATATATATATATATATATTTTTTTTTTTTTTTTTTTTTTTGTACAGCATGTTTTTAAAAGTATTACACCTTAAGGCCTTCCCAATTAAGAGGGTGAGGTCCCGGGTGAACTTCCGGCGGGGACCTGCCGTATTGGAAAGTAGGGCCGTGATTCGATCCTACGATCTTTGCTTAACTTACAGCGCCAATTACTTATACACACATAGCTTTAATTTTTTCATTGCTATTTTTCTCACCATTAACCCCTTTTAAATGTAAATGCAATAAATGTTTATTATTTTTTTTGTAATAGGCCGAGGAATATTGGTCCCAAAAATGTATTTTGGTGTATATTATTTAGGTTTATGCGCGATGTTTATCGCAAATTTATATACACCAACCCGGCAGTAATACCTAGTCCTAGGGATTAAGACATCAAAATAATGCCGTAATACTGTCGGGATACAGTCTTAAGGCAGTCTGGAACTAGCCTTTGTTGATATTAGACGTGTAGTGGAAGTCTACCCCACCAAGTCCTGATTCACCTCATTTCACCTGCCAATAGTCTAGCGCCATTTTTTTATAACAACTGTTTGGGGCCTCTGCAGTTGTCGATCGATCGATAGGCTATCGATTCGATTTCTCCACCATCGACTGCTTTGACAGCTGAACATCAGATAACCTCTTTGGAAATGTGGTCTCCAATTTGGAATATTTTCGTTTTATTCTCCACCGTCACGAAAGACAATGAACTACTTTAATTTTTTCTTCGCTAAAATTAGTTTTGTTCTTGTGGACAGTTATTTTTTTCTGTTGGTTTACTATAATTTTAGAATTTGTTTTTATTTATATTTTGCTATTAATGGGTAATTTTTTTGTATTTTCTCTGAATATTATATTTATATTTTATTTTTCTCACTACTTTACACCAATATTTATTTTAACTTTTGTACTTAATTAGATCTTTTTTTTATTCAATAAATTGTAAATGTTCAAAAGGGGATTTTTTTTTCCATTTTTTATGTATTGAAATATTTTTACTTTTTAATATTTTATTGTGCATGCACATTTTTTATGTTTTACAGGTCTCATTTTTACTGTTTTTCTCGTTCTTTCCCTTCATTTTTAATTTTACTATAATTTTCCCCACCTTTGAGGAAACCCACCGGGGAAAGATTTGTACTTCGATTTTGAAGTACCCCTTGGCCCCAACACATATCAAACCTTATATTTTTATTTGTACTTTTCTTTTCCACATCCAGGAATGGGTCAAGACCCATGTTTCTGTAACATTACTTTTGCTTGCGATGGAAGAGAAGAAAAGCGTAAACTTTTTTTCCGTATTTTTTATAAGAATAGTTTTTATCTAATCATAGAAACTTATTTACCATTTCCAGTTTTGACCTATGTTTGCCAAAATATCTCCTCACTATGTTTTACCTATAGTTTGATTCAATAAAATTATAAATGGAATCAAATTATAGAATTTTAGAAAAATGTATTTAATCCTCTCCTTATCAGAGGAATAAATGTGTTTCAATATTTTTAGTTGAATTTTAACCATTGATCACTAGGACTTAGCCAATTCTAGGGCAAATTATTTACTGGTACTGGTAGCGGTGAGGGGATTAAGTCCAGCAAGTGGGCCTATTGCTAATTTTTACTAACTCCAAAGACAATAATACAAATAGTAGTGTATTGTACCTCCATTCTGTCGCAAATCTTTTCGTTTTTCTAATGAAGTTCAAAATGAAGGTCATTTTAAAGAGCGATCTTCATGGTCTCATATTCTATCTTAGCCACATAGTTCTAGAGGAGGAAGGCTTTTTGATAAATTGTTAGGATAGTCTTAGCTCAAATACATTATACAAGTAGATTATTATTTAATAAATACATATAAAATTATTTACATTAAGTTAACTTAAATTTTAAAATGAAGAATCGTGATTTCCTCTGCATTGGAGCGAGGAATGTATTGCACGGGAGTCTTTCTCGACGTTGAACAGGCGTTTAATAGAGTCTGGCATCCGGGATTGATGTACAAACTCCGTAGATTCCTACCACCTACATACTTCACCTACCTCATTATCCGTTCCTACCTTACCTTAGTGATAGATCCTTCAAAGTAAATCACAAAAATGCCTGTTCATCTCTTTTATCTCAGTTTGCTGGTGTTCCTCAAGGTAGTATCCTAGGTCCTATCCTTTACACAGTTTATACAGCTGACATTCCAACCCATCCCAACACTATCATCACCACCTATGCCGATAACACGCGTATCCTATCAGTTAATACCGATTCATCCATTGTATCCCAAACTCTTCAAACACACATCAGAAGTCTTGAAGAATGGTGTCAAAACTGGAAGATTAAAATAAACTCCAATAAATCCCATCAAATTACCTTTACCCTGCGTCACAAACCTATGACCTCCTGTCCTACAGTATTCTTTAACAATCCCCCGCTTATACCAGTTGAACAAATCCGTTACCTAGGACTCCACCTCGACAAACGACTCACATGGAATTCTCATACAAGACTGAAACGACAAGAAACCGCTCGACGTTTCCGACTACTCCAACACTTACTAAACAAACGCTCTAAGCTTTCAATCAATTACAAACGAATCATATAAATGACAATAATAAGACCTATTTGGACTTACGGAATTGAGCTCTGGGGCTCCACTAAACCATCGAATTCCTCTCGTATCCAATCCTTACAATCCAAAATCCTTCGTAAAATCCTCAACGCTCCTTACTTTGTCACAAATAAAATCATCCATAAAGACCTTAATGTTCCATATGCTTCCGATTTGGCCCAATCCAGATACCTATCCTTCCATAACAAACTGCAGACCCATCCGAACCCTCTTGTTTCAAACCTTGCTTCCTCCTCGATCCCTGATAACCCTCCGAGGCGTCTGAAAAGAAGATGGCCTCGGGATCTTCCAATATAGAACTTTAATTTTAGTTCTACCAATGGGTAGTTTCTCTTCATGTTTTACATGTCATGTTACCAATGTCACATTTACTTGTTGTATTTTTAATGTAATACAGTTGTAAATTTCATTAAAATAAAATTTAAAAAAAAAACTGGTGTACTTACCGACACCACACTCGCTGGCTGTTGGTATTCCTGACAGGTGTGAATTGAAAAATAATGTTTAAAAAAATAAATATGAGTATATCGTTTATTTCATTCTTTACAAATATTGATATGTTGTTTAAATGATTATTTTCCTCATTCATACTGTTTCTGTAATATTCATAATGTTTCTGGGAACAATTAGACCATTAAAATAATGGTCCTTCATCACAGGGTTCCATTAACGTTACAGGCCTATAACATATGTATATATATACATATAAATTTATATATATATATATATATATATATATATATATATATATATATATATATATATATATATATATATATATATATATAAATTTAAATAAAATTTTGGAAAATCGTTATCTTAAGAATAACAGTAACTTTTTGTTTCATAGAGTAATTTGGTATAAAAAAATATTTCTTACAATCCAAAGTACAAACATTGGTAATCACTTCCACATGTGAGTTCCGATAAACAACACAATGTCCTTGTGCACTTGATCAGTGTATAAACGTCTATATAAAATTAAAAAAAAAAATAAAGTAATTTTATTAATAGAGGTCTTTTGTTTCCAAAATGTTCAGTAATTTATTATACTAAAAAAAAAAATTATTGATAAATACTACATTCTGTTTTCTATACCAGTGTATAACTAGCACAAACAGAGCTTTCTTCTCCCATTCAAAGGTATTGAAATCTTGAAAAATCTCAAATTAAGGATGTACAATGCTATGATAAAGCCAGTTCTAATATCTGACTGTGAGACCTGAGATTTGAGAAAAATCCTCCGCACGATAACCGGCGCTATCTGGGATCAGAGTACTAACACATGGAGAACAAAGACCAATAAAGAACTGCGTACAGAAGCAATTTAATTTACTTATATTTATATTATTTTATTTTTTATCGTGCATAGTTGTTTGATTATTATTTTACTTTTGTTAATTTTACCATATGTTTTCTGTCTATATGGTGTGAATGTGTTCCTATCTTACTATAATTATCGTCCACGTGACAGATTATTATATTTCTAAATAAATGAGTTTATTCATACCGTTTGAATAATGAATACAAATAAATTAAATAGAAAACCAGCATAAGAATAATACCAAAAATAAATAAATGTAAACAATAAGAAACTTTAATTAATAAAAATAACAAATTTCATACAGGCACACTTATATTAAATATTTACACAATTTATTCATTCAGGAAAATTCCGAGTCGATGCTCTCTCCCTACTGATGAAAGGAAAAGCAGGACTCTAAAAGATCCCATCGACTCTTGCGACTTATCATCCTCTTGAATACTACAAAGAGAGGTCCGTAACAAAACATAACAGTCTAAATAACATTGGAAATAATAAATAACACGAAGCTTACCAGAACCTGATGGTTTGCTTTCAATCGGCGTCACACATCAAAGGTCGCTAGCATAAGAATTACGTGGAAGGTCGCGACGGATCCATGTCACTGAATCAATTTATTGATCAAAAATGCCTAAAAATTTCTTATTTTACTAAAAGAAAAAAGGATAAGACGAGTTTTAATATATATCTAATGAGTAAATCACAATTACTTAATTAAATAAAAAATATTAAAAATCCATGACTATTTGTGGTGTATGGTGAATTAAAGATATGTGAGTTGGGCGTTCAATTCTACGTCACACGAATATAGTAATGATAATGGGATCCGTCTGATATACTTTGCCATCTCGAAAAATCTGATAATTAAAAGTTAAGCGATTAAACATAAGGATATTCACAAATATACCTGGACATCACCGGATTCGCAAACACGAAATCAAATCGATCATGTCTTGATACAACATAGCTGGAAAATCAGTTTAATTAATGTACGGTCTTATCGCGGAGCAGAATGTGGGTCGGATCATAAATTAGCAATCGCAACACTTCGACAAAAAATTGATATAAAAAAGAGAATAGAAAACCATTTTGATTTCGAGAATTTTAGTCTGGAAAAATTAAAAAATCCATGCATTAGAACTCAATTCGAACTAGGAGTTGACACTAGGTTTTAAGCTTTAGAACGAGGACCGCGAGGATATTGACAAGTTAGGGGTAGAGATCAGGGATAATATAAAAGCGGTTGATAACTCATGTCTAGGAAAAAAGTAAAATGAGAATAATAAACCTTAATTTGATGAAGATTGCTTAAACATGTGCGAAAAAAGAAAAGCAGCTAAATTAATAGCTCTAAATAATGGTAGCGAAAACAATCTGGAATACTTCCGAACCGCAAAGAAAGAAACGACTAAGACATACATTGACAAAATTAGGAACTTGAACGTTAAATTCTGTATATCATTTTATATTTTATGAAAATAAAGTGTTTCTCTCTTTTTTTTTATTTCTTTATAACATTTACAACTGTATTACATAAATACATGAAGTAAATTTGGACATAATTGATATAATGACATGAATACACTTGCTGAGTAACTACCAAATGGTAGCACTCTAATGATATGACTACATTAGGAGATCACGGGGCCATCTTCTTTTCAGACGCCTCGGAGGGTTATCAGGAATTGAAGAGGAAGCAAGGTTAGAAACGAGAGGTTTGGGATGATTCTGAAGTTTATTAGGGAAGGATAGGTATCTGGATTGGGCCAGATCTGAAACATAAGGAACATTAAGATCTTTATGGATAATTTTATTAGTGACAAAGTAAGGAGCATTGAGGATTTTACGAAGGATTTTGGATTGTAAGAATTGGATGCGAGAGGAATGCGATGGTTTAGTGGAGCCCCATAGCTCAACTCCGTAAGTCCAAATAGGTCTTATTATAGTCAAGTATATGAGTCTTTTGTAATTAATGGGAAGTTTAGAGCGTTTGTCTAGTAAGTGCTGAAGTAATCGGAAACGTCGAGCGGTTTCTTGTCGTTTCAGTCTAATATGAGGATTCCAAGTTAGTCGTTTGTCCAGGTGGAGTCCTAGGTATCGGATTTGCTCAACAGGGATAAGTGGAGTATTGTTAAAGGAAACTGTAGGAAAGAAAGTCGTTGGTTTACGACGAAGATCATTAAATATGAACACGAAAATCACTGAATACTAGAAACAGTTATAATAGAATTAAATTTAGTGTAAAAATAATTATTACAAATCGTCACAACATGAGCACAAGCTTCTACAGGCATAGAATTTTTCATCGACTGCCACGTCGGCTCCAACTGAATATCAAGCACTTTCTGACAAACTTCAAATATGTCCCAAACAGGTACTGTTCGGTTTATTTCTTTACCTTGTCGAAGGTTTTCTCGGTCATCAAATCTTAGGGATCAAAGTAAAGATCGAAACCTTCCTAAACTCGTAGTAGGACGAAATATTTCAATTTCAAACTTAGAATCAACTATGCTACTATAGTTCGACAAATCTTCCAGAGTTTTCATCTCCCTTAAAGCATTTCGGCAATATATAACAATACCCAATAAAGGCTTTGATTTCAATTATATCTGGGCCGAACGAAGAAATACCTCAACACTATAAACAATTTTAAGGACAGATATTGCGAAGTTGATTAAGTGCTAGAAAACCAACGGCATAGGCTCTCAAGATCTAAAAATAAAACAAAGAAAGAGAATCAGCACCAGAGAATATGCAACATTACTAAAAAAATTTTTTTTTATTTTATTTTATTTGTATTTATTTATTTATTTATTTATTCAGTATTACAGCAATCTGTCACTTTGACATTGGTTATAGTGAGATAGGATAACATTCACACTGCATGTATAAAAAATATAAAATAAATATAAGAAAAATAACAATAAATAATAATCAAAAAGTATAAACAATAAGTAAAATAAAATAACCTAAAAATAAGAAAATTAAAACTAAGTAAAAACACATGCATACCTATATACACTATTTACAATCAGGAGAGGGATTTCCGAGGAAATCTTGTCTCTCCAACTATGGAGGGAAAAATCGGACTCCAGGAGAACCCTGTGCTACTCTCTCAACCGCATCACTGGTACTAAAGCCAGCGGAGATTGATCGAGAGCACTACTAAAAATATTAAAATCAGAGAAAACAGAGAAGATTAAAATATTTTTTTACACAATGTAGTATTTAGTAAAGTTGAAAAAAAGAATATTAAGTAATTTTTTATACACACACACACACACACACACACACACACACACACACATATATATATATATATATATATTTTTTTTTTTTTTTTTTTTTTTTTTTCCCTACGTGGTAACCCCACACAAGGATCGTTTATTTGATTTTCCTTCATGCTCCATGCCTTAAAGACATACTACATATATATATATATATATATATATATATATATATATATACCTGCACACATTCCTTTAAAATGTATATTTATCAATTAAGATATGATAAATAATAAATAAATAAGCAGTATCAGAAATTGCATATCAATCGTTGCTCTTGTAATCAGTAGTACAAATTATTAACATCCGCCTAAAACTTCGTAAATAGCTTCACTTTATAGAAACCTACAAATATATATATATATATATATATATATTTATGAAAATTCTCGGAATTAGGACGTTTTTAATCTGAAGATCGGCAAATTTTGTTTATTTAATTAGATGCCGAAAATACATGAATACCCATTTGTTTTCCACTTGAATCTTAAGACATTACCGACTAAATCGAAAGAAAAAAAAATCTGTTGTGCCTACTCACACAACTATACGTATTTCAGAAACGGTTTTAGAAATAGAAATAGAAAATAAACTTTATGCTGGGAAGAATAATAACAATAATGAACAGTTAAAAAAGAAAAAATACATATCTGGCCAAAAACTAACCTAACAAAGATTCAAACAATATATTTTATATCTTTAAAAATATCCTTTCCAGTAAAATTATTAGTATAGTTGAGAAGATTTTATTTTATTTTTTAGTTTTTTACAAACTATTATTTGAGTTGTTTGAATCTTTATGAAGTTAGTTTTTGGCCAGATATGATTTTTTTTTCTTTTGTAATTGTTCATTATAAGGGGACATCATCCCAAAATAAAAATTATTTTTTATTTATATTTCTATGTCCATTAAGAAAAAAAAATTAATCACATTTATTTTCTTGAAAATCGATAAAAGAAAATATTTGAGTACGATTTACTTAATAAACTAAAGGAATATAAACCAGTTTGTGAAGATGAATGGAAAAAATTCAAAAACCTCTAATATTGCTAATCAAAAACATTTTCACTTTAGCCCCATATTGTAAGACAATAATTTCTGTTAAAAGTCGAGAGGAAAGTGACATTTTTGTGATGCGGGCAACAGACTTTCTTACCTTAGTTTTCTAAAAAAGGCTCTGAAATATATAGATCCGTCGAAAGCCGCATATCGGAAATTTTACCAGATCACAGTACTTTCCTTACCTAGTTTAGGTAGGAAAGTAATAAATTAAAACATGTGTAGAAAATATAATAAGCTTTATCATCACTAATACTGGGTCGATTTCGATGATTTTTTTTTTGTAATTTAATTAATTTTCAAAACTCCTCATATAAATTTTACCGTAGAATATATACTTCGTGAGTTAGGCCCGAAAACATATTTCTTTTATTTATATTTTTTTTCCTGAATTTTCTCGAAAATTTAGTACATGTACAAAAATTATAGGAAAGTTTCATCAAAATCATAAGAGCCGTTTGAGCATTACACTCTAGAGATAATATGTTTTCACTTATTGAACATTGAGCACCCAATTGGTGTCACAGGTATCAGTAGTCAAAATCGATCCACTAGTTCCCGATAAAATCTTGACACAGACAGACTAATGGTTGAAAATGTGTTTTTCGAAATCAGAGGACTCTGAAACCTATACATATGTTAAAAACTGCATGTCGAATATTTGGCTCGATCGCAATCTATTATAGCTAGAAAAGTAATAAAGGTGGCCTACAAAAATATCGACCTGCAAAACTTCGGTAATTTGATATTTTGGAGGTGGAGGTCATGCAAAACTGACCAATATTTTTGTAGGCCACTTTTTTTTGCTTCTTTGTGATCATATATTTTATTTCTAAGCTATTCAAATGGAAAGCAAATGGATATTATTTTTAGGTTTTAGAACCTAACTAAAAAACAAAGTTTGCCGCTCTCCAGAGAATTTTCTTAAATATAATATTTGTAGGTTGCAACGAGATTAAGCTATTTACGAAATTTTAGGTGGGTGTTAATAATTAGATAAAAAAAAATATCTGTGCTACGAACTATTTTGTTTTCTTAATTTTATTTTGTATTTTTAATGTTTACTAACGCTTTGTTTCTACATTCTTCACTAATCCAAACCAAATGTGTGAATTTTTTTTAATACATTATATTTTTGAGATTTGTAAGAAAGTTAGGTATACTTTTCTCTAATGTTTGATTAAGGAATCGAAGCTTTATATTACGAAACAGGTTGTTTTAGTAATTAAATCAGTTTATTGTATTGATTTAAAATGGTTTTGAGAATATGTAACAATAATTATTTCCTCTATCCTCTAAAAAGCCATATTTTTAAGCTGAAATCAAATTTGTAATTTAGCGATTCTGTTCTTCCCTAATACAAATGTATTATCACCGACTAAATTATATTTTAAATTTTATGGTGTGATAAAAATAACTTTGATGGGCCGGATTTAAGGTTTGGATATCAATAATTTTAATAATAAATGTAAACATTTTCTAATTCGAATTGCTTAATGAATTCATTGAAAAACAGAAATGTGTCATTTTACTATCACAGTACTTAGTCTCAAGTCCGTTTCTAACTACGTTGGTTACTATTTAACTTCATTAAATGAGTTTAGTTCCATAATCTTATACTTTTAGTCGATTTATGAGCATATTTAGTCATTTTTATACCATTTTTTTTTTGGGGGGGGAGGGAGTTAACTATTTGAATTTTATACGATTACTGTGGCTCATTATTGAAAATAGTAAACCAAAGATATATAAAAATCACGACATATTTACTAATAGTGCTCTGATTTAAATGAAACTTTGTTCATGTTTTAGAAAATATAAATAAATTTGAAATATCTAATTTTACAAATTACAAAAAATTGTATACTTTTGATTTATTCCAACACGTAATTTTATCATCCATCGTAACTTTTTTTTTCAGTTTCTTTTCGTTGAAGTATAGATAAATTTAAAGGGCATCGAGAACTTTAATCAAGTTTCATTGGAATCGGTGAATTCGTACAGGCGATGCAGTATATAGCAACACAGGTTTTTCGGCTGCCATCTTGAAAGAAAGTGGCGGATAAAAATGTCAATGTTGGTGGTTCATCCTCGACTGTCCTCTGACTTTAAATCAAAATTTGAAAAAAATCGGACAAGTAAGAACAGAAAAAATGAACGAACAGGACAAAAAACAAAAAAAAATATTTAATTTTCGAATTCTACTTATACTGAAATGCAAAACCTCAAATTTTGTGGGGAGTTAAGTTTTTGAATTTTTCGGACGATTACAATGGTTCTTTATTGAAAATAATAAACCAAAATTTATTTATTTATCAATTATATTTACCATATTTAATTATTAATTTAAGATATGACAACTCACCGTCTGGTTCCCTGGTTTTCGGTGGTTGTTTTTTGTTAAAAAATTTGGATGAGCCACTGGTGACACAAAAGAATAACAGGATAGTCACATAATGCTTCATTTTCTTTCAGTATACGGATTTCCAATCAATTTACATATGAAATTATAGGAATATTTAAATCCTTGTAAGTTTATACCGTTCCTGCGCAATATGGTACTATATAGATTACCAGTGATGATCTAAGGCAATAATTTATTTTATAAAAATGTTTTTGACACATAAGATAAGCAAAGGAACATGTGAAAAACATCAAATAATCACCTATGAATTTATGATGGATTAATAATATTTTATCTGTTATTACCTTTAAACCTATTGATAAAAATAATTTCTGTTTGTTTAGCGGTAGAATATTTTTTAGAGAATGTAAAATTGAATTATCAGAGAACTGGAGTAAAGAGAGTCCGTGCAAAACAATTGTCATTATCTGAAGATAATTTTAAATGCTTTATTTTTTAATATTTATATCATTTATATTTAAAAAATAAATATACCAGTCGGATCATGTTACCTATAAAAATAACGTTTGATTATAATAATTAGTCCGGTAACTTGAAGATTGATACGGAAAAATTCATTGCGAAAGATTTTCAAAAGTTTTTATTTTTTGAACTAGTCTGTATGAGTTTAAACATTAATATGTGTATTCAAACAAAATTTGCTAACTCAGTCCACAAAGGGGAAACATGTTACAACCAAAAAAAAGACTGTTATTATTTTTATTCACATACCTTTTTTTTTTATTAATTAGGGATAAATTTAAATTGATTTTTTGAAACTTCTTAAGGCTTGCTTAGCACTTTATTTTATGGGTAATGAATACGTCTGAATTACGCCTGGATATGTAACGCTCTTTCGGGCATAATCGACTCATTTTTGCATTTAGATAAAAATATAACAGAAATTCAAAATCAGACCTGCAAACTGTAAGTGAAAAATCCTCATTGTAATGATTTGTTATTTAAAAGTGTATCTTGAGGCGACGGTATGTTAGAAAGTCACCATAAGCACATTACTCTCATTTTAGCTACTCGGTGGAGGTGTAAAAATAGCTTGGATATTCTGTATAAGTATATTCTTAACGTTTTACTTGGATTCTGGAAGAGGTTGAAGGTCCTCAGTGTCTTGTAATTTGAGTGGATGTAGTTGATGGTCTTTATAGTTTTGGATACTGAAAGCTAAAACACCGGCGGTGACAACAGTTAACAAAATGGCGAACCAGATCATCTTGTGCACAAACGACCTAAACTGAAATTTGAATTTAATTTTACAATTTATAGCTCCTTATTTAACCTCATACCTCTTAGTAAGCTTGCCAGTGAAGTAAATTAAACATATCAGTGCTTGACTGCTTTATTACATAATATATTAGCTTATTTTCTGTGGTTAATATTAGTTTACTACTTCGCTAATCACTCCAATTTTCTCAGCTATGAGATTCGGAAGATTTGTTGCATCAACAATTGTAAAAATAGTTTCATAAAAAATAAAATAAATAACTGACTTCATACCTAATCTGCAATACCTAGTATTGAAGATGGACAGAAAGGGTGAAGCCGTGTGTTACCCTTGTTAATCGGAACTGATTGTTGGTATATGGTATAAAAATAAGAGAAAACGTGAAATTGAACCTAAAAAATTGGAAAAATGCATTAAGCGAACGAGAAAGGAATTGCCAAAATCTCGGGAAAGAAAACAAGGATCAGTGTTCTATGGCTGAACGAATAAAAGTAAACACTTGAACAGAATATTTCAATCAGCTGTTAAAAGGAGATCAAATACTGGAGCAGTTTTCATGATATTAAGGGGGCGATGCAGGTTTTTTATGGTGAAGACCATTTTATCAGCAAGAAAGATTCGTTCGAAGAAATTGGCAAGTCAGCAGGTCTGGACTAAATAAACGAGGTTTATTATGGTGAAAACAACATTATTTTCAATTGATATTGAAGTTGCACATTGTGACTATCTTTGAAGCAGATTATCTTTCGAGAAAGAGAAATAGCTCTCCTTCTGTTTAGTGTATTTGAAACATATTTTTGAATGAATCTGAACGGAAAACGACCTTTTCTGAAAGACTAGTAGATATTAGCACAATCAAAAGTGTAAGGCACTAAACAGAAATAGAGCTATTTTTATTTCTTCTCTTAAAGCCTTAATGATAAGACACTCCCACTTTGCAACTTCTGTTCCAATGTGCAACATGGGTTTCTCAATCCATATCGCTCTGGCAATCGACAATATTTTTAATTCCAGGTTCTATGATTCTTGAGTAGAGTTTCTTCGTTACACTAAACAGGAACGAATCTCGATGGGTATTACATTTCATAGTATCTCCTATATCATAGTATAGTATTACATTTCATAGTATAGTATATAGTAGTAGAGAATAATGCATTCAATATTAAAATTTACTATTTTTTATTTTTTCTTGTAAAGCAACAAAACTACAGTCCTTAATATCATCCAAACTGCTTCAGCATTTGACTCCATTTTTAGCAGCATCTGGTAATATTCTGTTCATCTATCTACTATATATTGGTTTAGCCATAAAATGGATACTGATCCTTGTTTTCTTTACCGAGATTTTAGCAGTTCCTTTTGCTTAATGTATTTATTCCAGTGTTTGGGTTCAATTTCGCGTTTTTCCTCATTTTGAAGCCAATTACTCGCAATCATTTTCGCTTACCTAGAAGAACTTGTAGCTTCGCCCATTCCATCTTTCTTTGTGCAGAGAGAATAATGCATTCAATATTAAAATTTACTATTTTTTCTTTTTTCTTGTAAAGCAACAAAACTACAGTCCTTAATATCATCCAAACTGCTTCAGCATTTGACTCCATTTTTAGCAGCATCTGGTAATATTCTGTTCATCTATCTACTATATATTGGTTTAGCCATAAAATGGATACTGATCCTTGTTTTCTTTACCGAGATTTTAACAGTTCATTTTGCTTAATGTATTTACTCCAGTGTTTGGGTTCAATTTCGCGTTTTTCCTCATTTTAATCATTTTCGCTTACCTAGAAGAACTTGTAGCTTCGCCCATTCCATCTTTCTTTGTGCAGAGAGAATAATGTATTCAATATTAAAATTTACTATTTTTTATGATATGGTCCGATTTCCGAACAAAATAAAGAAAATAAAAATTAATTTTTTTATTGGTTGTGTATGAGTTTCACTAAACAACCCATCAACTATTCATTATACGTAGTTCACATTAGGTATATATTATTTAAGTTTATAAGATAGGTATTAAGGACTCATTTCCGGAGAAGTGTATACAATTTAAATTATCTCTAAGAATCAGTAAATATACAAAACAAAGTGTTCAATTGCAAAGGTTAAATAAAAATTTAAGATATTCAGCAAAGTATTTTTTAATTAAGTTGTATTATTATAGATATATCATTTTTACAATAGAGGTCTTCTTAAACGACCTGCGTATGGATTAAAGGAAGTTACATTAAAAAAAAAAGATTATAAAAAAATGTTAATTTTTTTGTACAATTAAATTATTGCATCAATGTTTTTTTGTTAAAACAATCAATATAATGTACCAAAACGTTATTATAGCACTATAACTAAGCCATTTATGGAACTGCTTCAAATATTTTAAAAAGTAATCAGTGTTTTAAAAAGAGAAATAAATTCTCCAGATGTTATATTGCTGCGCGCTTTGCGTTATTATAGGCCGTTTAATAATAAACGACGCTTAATGTTCAACTTGAAAATGTTTTTAGGAAAACAATTGAATTTACTGCTGTTTTTCACTGCTTAAATCAATTATTTTTTAATATTTTTTCATATTTTATTATTTTCTGACTATCCAGATTTAACAAAAGACCAACTATGACGAAATTATGCCAAATGCTGATTCTCAGTGACAAATAAAACCAACTAAAGTCAAAGTCGTCAGTCCGCCATGTTTAGACCCCATTTTGTAGCAGTTCGTTCATTTTTTTTGTAGGAACATGGCTTTTTTTCATTAAATAGTTACAAGTAACACAACGATATGCAATGTATAGGGTTTTGGAAGGGGGTACATGGAAGGGGAGGTCTGGTCCACCGTATATTACATAATAACAATTTATTATACATAATTGCAGGATAAATTAATGTATTGTAACACTAAGTAAATTTCATATTGTTTAAATCTCACATTGTAATTAAAGAATCTAATAAACATTACATAGATCCAGGTGGTTGAAAGTGAAGTTGGTGGTGGGATAGGAATTGTTAGGATGTATTTCTTTATTAGGATTGACGTATGGAGATAGGTGAAGAATTCCAGAAGGACGTAGCACGAATGACGAAGAATTTGCTGAAGGAAGTACTTTTATGGGGGGATTGATATATAAATCAATAGGTTGACATCTAGTATTAAGAATATGGATAGAGAAAGGTAGAGTAAGAAGTTGGAAAAGGAAAACACCAAGAAGGAATTGCCATCGGGAAGTAGGATTGAGCTAAGTCAATTTTGCGTACCAACAGGAAACAGGAGAAGCTTGGGAATCCCAAAGATAAATCTCATGAAAAGATTCATGTGTCTCTTCAATCTCATCTCCGGTCTTGCAGACAACCCTCCTTTTTTTTTTTTTTTTTTTTTATTATTTTAATGGAATTTACAACTGTATTACATATAAAATACAATAAGTAAATGTGAAATTGATAACATGACATGTACAACATGAAGAGAAACTACCCATTGGTAGAACTCAAATTAAAGTTCTATATTAGAAGATCCCGAGGCCATCTTCTTTTCAGACGCCTCGGAGGGTTATCAGGGATCGAGGAGGAAGCAAGGTTTGAAACGAGAGGATTCGAATGGTTCTGCAGTTTGTTATGGAAGGACAGGTATCTGGGTTGGGCCAAATCGGAAACATATGAAACATTAAGGTCTTTATGGATGATTTTATTTGTTACAAAGTAAGGAGCGTTGAGGATTTTACGAAGGATTTTGGATTGTAAGGATTGGATACGAGTGGAATTCGATGGTTTAGTCCAAATAGGTCTTATTATTGTCATATATACGAGTCGTTTATAATTGATTGAAAGATTAG